GGGTGTGTGTGGGGTGTCAGGCTGCTCCGGGAAGAGGCACGAGGTGCTGCGAGGGTGCTCGGCTCTCTGCACGGAGCGCAGTCCACCACCGCATTTTCACGGGGGATTGTTGCTATTTTACTAGGAAAACAGGACAGACGCAGGCAGAGCGGCACTTGCAACCAGAAACCCCGGGAGCCCTTTCTGCTTTCCTAGGACACCCCCTCCACCAGCTTCTAGTGTTTTCCAAACACAAATTAAGCCTCGGTTCGGCTCTCTCCAGGGTAAACAAGGTGGTTTATAGCTAGCCACCGTCCTTCCGCGGAAGCATCTGTAGTGTCGAGTCCGACTGCTCTTTCTTTCAGAATATCTGCACGCCCTGTATTTCTTAACACTTTAAAGGATCACCCAAAATAGTTTACAAATCATTTATGAACTCCACTGCCAAAACGCAGCCACCTTTAGAGTATAAAATACCAGCTGTCCTATAATGGCAGAACCCTTAAAGAAAACATCCCGCTGAAAACATAGAAATACATGGAGAGAAGAGCAAAGTTTCTCCTCTCCAGCAGAGGATGAAAAGGAAGCCAAACCCCTTTTACACTTCACTTGAAAATTACCTCCCAAACCCTTCTATCTGATCACCGCTTATAGTCATCTCCCATTCAGACACTAACCAAACCCAACATAATCATCCTGTGGCATAATTTTAACACAGCTGCTTCAAAACAGTGATTGTCCAAAGTCAACAAGCAGAATAACTCAATTAAATCACAATTTTAATGTATCAATCATATGACAACCACCTGCCAGTTTAAATTTTACTAAGCCACATCGCATTTACTTCTCAAATCTAGAGAAAGAATGACAAATGCAGTGAAAGTTTTTATTCCTTTATTGATAAATGCTTTCCAGACTTTCCAAGCTGGATTGTTCAGTTAAAACCAAAACCACAAAATACTTTCAACCTAAAATCCTCAATGTCCTGCTTAGAAGACACAAAGGGTAGCTCTGTTCTGACCACAAAGGAAGCAAGATTCTGGCTTTGGAAATCTAGAGCTTCAGAGTTGGCTTTTTAAATAAGATCTTAAAGATTAATTTACAAAATGCAATATAACTATGTGATATGATGCATGGCATTGAGATCTGCAGGACAGCGAAGAATCTTCAAACATCTTGAGCTGATGTCTATGAAGGGGCTATTTGGCTTCTTTGCATCCTATAGGAAGAGATGACGACAAGTTACCTACATACAGCACACCTCACTCCAGGCTAGTGAGCTTCCCAGCATTACAAACCATAAGGACTCCAATATAATTTGCAAGGTACAGAGAAGCTGTTAACAGTTGTGGATAATATCCATTTCTGATCATCTGACACAAAGCTCAAACTCTTTAGCAGAGAAGCCAGTGACTGGGGCCACTGAGAAATACACGGATGAAAACATAAGAACCCGCCATCATTCTTCAGCATTTTGAGTTGTGACATCTGACCACAACAGCTTCCCAAAAAGTACTGAAGATGTCGATTCCGGACAACCCACAGAGAAATGGATCATCAAACACGAGAAGAGGCATTCAAAGAATCAAAAACCTTATTCAGAAGTTAAACAAGAGCCAGCTCCAAACACAGGAGCCAGCATTTGCTTAGACAGACCTATGCAGTGAAAGGACATTCCTGACACCAGCACGTTAATAGGTACTGTAGGCAGATGATTGTCAGGATAAGGAATGGGCATTAACAGCCTATTTAGCCTCAAAGTCACTAGAACATCTTGTGTCTCTCATTTTATTTCCCAGATTAGCAGTTTCACAAGACTCATCTCTGCATTATTCCTTCCTTGACATGTCAACTGCTAGGAACACTTCAGGGACTTACGCAACATCTTTCTGATGCTTAATTAAAATAAGATTTCTGAAGAATATTTCTAAAGCTGCTACAATAAGGATTCCGTTGTGAAAAACTGCATTGGGGTTTTTGTTTTGTTTCTTTTGTTTTTTAAAGAGTGGACTAAAAGCACACAAGTGCTGCGACCGGACCTACACGGGCCTCCAGACTGGCTACATTCACTAACAATCATGCTTTATTTACTCTGATTCTGGAAGCTTTTAAGTGAAGCTAAGGACCGAGACACTCACCAATCTTCCTGGTTTAAGAGGTAGCAGCAACCACACCCACCTTCTGGGCAGCTTCTTTCTTGGCTTGGTGAGCCTGCAACACTGCAACGGCCTCCTCCACCTCAGGGAGACAAGTTATCTAGTGAGACCTATTCTCTTGACCAAAGCCTCCCACAGACCACCCCATCTAAAGGAACAGGCCGGTTTACCTTTGACCGGAGGGACTCTGGAGACTCTAACATGTGCAGCAGCTCTGAGTTGTCAATCTCTAGCAGCATCCCCGTGATCTTCCCCGCAAGGCTGGGGTGCATAGCTTGAATCAGAGGGAACAAACGTTCTCCTGGGAAAAAAAAAAGCAGTTCAGACAGCCGAGTTTCAATTAAAAAGTCATCTTTGAAACCTGAGGGGATTTCCAAAGTAATACGCAATCTGTAAGAACTGAAGTTTCACTTACCCAGCATCTGTTTCTGCTCCTGGGGAGGGGCAGCAGCCAGCATGGAGGCCGTTAGCGGTTCCTGTCCCTGCACATGTACTGCAGGCTGAGGTGCCTACAGAAGGGCAGACATGAGGGTTCTGAAATAGATACTAGACTGATTGCTTCATATTTAGAGACAATAATAAGATATTCCCTCCTTCTAAAACACAACCTTTGTCAAGCCTACAGCAGATTTAACTTTCAGAAAAGGACAGATAAGGTGCCCTTGGTTCACAAACATGCTCCCTCCAAGTCCTGAACTCAAAACCCCCTAATGTCACACACGGGCACTGTAAATATCTTACAAAAACCGGATCAAACATTGTGAGACAAATATCGCAATTGAGAAAGAGCAACATCCAGGCCTGCTTTTTTTTTTTTAACAATGCAGAGGTTTGTGGGAGAAGCAAACTGTGCCTTCAATGATGCCCTAGTGAGGATTTGGCAAAGAGGTGAGAGAATGAATGGTTGCAAAATGGGAAAGCAAAGAACCAAGAAAAATATCCTTACAGCAAATCTGGGTAAAAAAAAAAAAAAGGCTTGCAAGTACAAGACAGATAAACCAACTAGGTTGCCCCTGGAAAAGGTACAACTGCCAGGTTTTTAAATTCTGAATTACGATGCCTGTCTGGGTTATAAAAGTAGCTTGAAGTTTCTGTAAAAACACTTCATTTGAATGTAAAACCTGTTGGACTGCAGTAACTGCAGGGACTCCCAGCCCAGACCCTTGTGTTACCTGCAAAGGCTGTACAGCTGGGTGTGGGCTGCGGACACTTGAGGCATATTTGTAAGGAGGAACCGCTCTGGGAGCGGGGGCAGCTACAGGTGGACGAGGAGCTAAATTCTGCGCTGCAGTGCCAACGCCTGCAAAAGAAGAGAACAGAACTACAAACACCTGTAGCAACATGCAAGCAAGTTGGGATGTCCGATATTAACTGTTGAATTCAAACTATGCTCTGCACAGTCTAATACTTCTTTAGAAAGTGGTCTCCAAAATGCTACTGGCTACGTTAGTAAATGGCTGTTCTCCCAAAAACTAAACCATGGATTCCACATCCTGCATTTAAGACATTTTCTAGTTATTCACTGGAATAAAATGAATTTGAATGCTCCACTCTGAAAACAATATCCATAACCTACAGAGCTTTTTTTTTTTTTTGAGTGGTAAATGTTGCAGAGGTGTAGAGATGAGTTCCAAACCAGTGGAAAGCAACCCATCTGGATTTCCACTGCTGTGCTGTAGCACCAACTGTCCCCCGACCTGCACTGCACAGCAAGGAATAGGAAAGATTCAGGTGCTGTCTCTGCCCCTTGCTCCAGGTGGCCTTTGGTTATCCATATCTGACAACCATCTTTGGAAGTAGAAGTCAAGTCTCACTAGCATCCTCCTCCCTCACAGACAAGGGGAAGAGCCTGGGAGGCAGACACCTTACCAACTCGCTGGGCAGCAGCGGGGAGGCCACGAGAGGCCGGAGCATTGCCAGCAGGGGCCAGATGGCGCAGTGCTGGCCGTGGTCCAGACTGGCGCATGGCATTTGGCATTCCCTGGAAGCCTAATGGAAGAAATGAGGGGAAATCCTCAAAACAGAACTGACTGGCAAGTCGGGACAGTCAGCTACAGAAAGCAGGTTGGGGTTGCGCACGGAAAGGAAAGCATGCATTGTTCTTGTTGGAAAGTACAGCCAAGAGGGTCATACAACCAAAATATTGTCTCTAGCATGCTCACCTTGAGGTCTTCCCCCTTGCTGCCAGCGTGGGTTGGGTCTCATCTGTGTCATTTGATTGGGTGCATAGTAAGTGGGTCTGCTCTGAGCCTGAAGAAAGATCAGACAAGCTCAGAGGCAACATCTTAGTGAATAACAAACATTGTTTACAACATG